ATAAAAAAAATGCAGTAGTTTATTAAAATATTTAATTGTGACACAAAAATGTTTTACCATAGCAACAATATTTTATTTTAATATTTGGAATTTAAGAAAAAAGGACGATTCTTGTTTTTTTCATGTACATTTGTGCATATACATATGTATGTATGCATGTGTATATGTGTGTACATAATTTTGTAGTTTGTATAGCTCTTAATTGTTTTCCATTTTCAAAACTTTTTATCTATATTATGTATATATGTAGTATGAAATATGATCTACATACATACGTACATAATTACTGAATGAGTGCCTGAGCCAATTTAATTTTCTAATTTAGATAACAAAATTTTATTTCTTAATATCGTTAAAGAAATTGTCTTAGGATTATAAAAAACTTTAAAATACTCCTGACGTATAAAACCACGTACATACATAATATGTATGCATATATGTATGTATGTAAGTAGGTAGTAAAATGATTGAAAAAATCATTTGGAATGGGAAGAAAATGAAGATGGAAAACTTTTTCGCTTTTGTCCATTATTAAAGAGCAAAGAACAATATAATTAAATTATATTCTGAAATTTAAATGTTTGTAAGGATATTATATTAATGTGTACATATGTATGTACATATTATATTAAATTGTCCTTGTATACATTAAACAACAAATATGTACCATGTAACATAAAAATGGTTTTTTTTCCTCAATTCCTTTTCATTCAAAAAAAAAAGATAACGATTTTGTTTTATTTCCGATTTTATTTAATTTGCATAAAGATTTCAAAATATAAATTTTCTTATACAGTACTACTGCTTTTTGATATATGGGTGTGAAAAAAATATGTTATATCATTAAACATTGATTCCAATCAGTCTTTAACCAGACGCCGTTCATAATATTTTAAAAACGAAACCTAAAAATTCGGAGAGGACAATTTGCAAATCAATATACCGAAGTGATAAAAAATTCACTGCAAATAATTTCTTAAAACAATAATCTACTTTACTATATAGCACTGGCTACAGTTCACATACAGGCATGACGTATAAAAAATATTTAGTTGACTACCTTAAACACCTACGTACCTTAAATGTTTCAAGATTCGGCCCATATAAAAGTGTGATTTTTAATAGCCAAAATAATAAACTTATTTTAATATTCTTATTTTACAATCCTCAACTGTTAGTCAAAATAACTATACACATTCAGTTCTAAACGAAGCCGTTGCTAAGAATAATATAAAAACACTATTTTAGATAAAATCGCAATACAAAGCCCAATTGTCCAAGAACAATAAATTGTCAATGTTAAAAGAGATCGAAAATCCGATTTTAAAAAAATTTATTTGTAGAACCGATTTGAAAATACAAAATATTAATTATCAGAGTTTTCTAATTTTATCTTTTTTTTCTACATTGGAAAAGAGTAACGAAAAAAGTAATAATTAAGGTCGAAATTTAAATAAATTATAATCAGTTAAAGAAAAGGGTAAGGTTTTTTCCTTTGTTATTGTCCTGACGTAACCAACCGAATAAAAGGAATTTATTGGTGCATAAAAACATAAATTTTCCTTTTTTGAGTTTGAGAAATAAATTTGACCGAACATTCGGCTATTGGACACAAATTTAATTTTAATATTTAAGCAGTTTATGAATGAATAAGGCGTTTACTTCAGTGTTAAAATGTTTGTGGTTTTCTTTAAATTTATCAAAGGCTGAAATTTTACAACTCAAACCTAAAGAAATAGTCTGTAAGTGTGTCAACTCGTGTATCTTAATTTTGGATGAACCAATTTTCATAAATATTTATATCTGAGTTTACTGATCTACTTTTGGGATATATTAGAATTCGGGAATTGGACTCATTTTACAATGGCCGATCTTATATTTTTTTGAATATTTTGAGAAAATTAACTTAAAATTAAGCCCATTTCCAACAATACGAACATTTGATTTCCTTACTTTTCCGGGAAATCAGGTATCAGCAATTTTTGCTATAGGCAGAATATATATTTTTGCAAATGAAGAGAGTAATAATTAAAAAATATTAATTAATTTAATATTTTAAATCCGAGTATCAAAATTAGTCAATTTTTCGAAAAAATTAGAGCTTGGAAACTGATCTCTCGCTACTAGTCGATTTTTCACTTTTTACCATATCTATGAAACTATAGTTGAAGAAAGTGTACTTGAATTGAAATTTACTATTTATGAATTCAGTTTACTATCGAGAATAACTGCGAAAATTTTTGGCGAATTAAGAATAGTATAAAATAAACCTTTGCCAAGAGTCAAATTTCGATTTCTCTAGGTGTGTTTAACAAGCCTGTTTAACATTTTTGCCAAAGTAGAAAATACCGTTTGCAGTGTATTGCACGGTTTTTTCAACTGTGCTAAAAAGAATTTTAATAGGCAATATTAAGAATTGGTTTGAGTGTTATACGGTTGGATTCAATTTTTATAGCGAAAAGGAATGTTGTTTTTATTTAATGCAATTCCAAAGAAGTTTGGTATTCTTCAACTAATTCAACATGCAAAGTACTTGTACCTAATGGTTAGGGTAATAGAGTTATAAATATTCTCATTTACCGAAAACCATTTTTCCTTAGATTTAAGTACAGACGAACTGAAAAAGGTCATTGAATAGTTTCCGCATATAGTGACGCAAAAACCATGAGATATGAACTATGAACATAACTTAAATTTTTAGGAAAATTTATTTTAAAGTTATTTTTACAAAACATAATTTAGAGCACGTGAAATTTTTACCTTTAATTAAAAAAGCATTTCAATTTATTGTTTTTTTTTTCTTAATTTTTGAAAATAATTAAGCTTTTACTTTCGAAATAAATATGAAAATTTTCTTAAAAAGAAAATTTAATCCTTTTTAACTTTCAATTAAATTAATTTGCTTTGAGGAAAAATTAACTTTTGAAAAGTTTGTTTTTAGTTTTTACTTTCAAAAGTTGAAAGTTTTTTATTGAAGATTTTTCCGTTTTTATGTTTTGTTTCAGGAAAGAAATATCTTTTAAATTGCCCTTGAAACTCTATTGAAAGAAAAAGAAAACATGAGAATATTTATAAAAATAAAAATAACATGCTTAAAATACTTTTAGGCAACATTTTGGTTATTAAGAGAAAACATTTAAAATATTTCATTACAGATGAAACAAAACCGCTTTAAAATTTAAATTTCCTTATTAGAATTAAGGAACTGAGATAAAACATGTATGGCTTCTATATTTGCAATTTTTGATTTGCACTTTACAAAAACATAGAACAAAGATAGGGAAACATTGGGAAAATATGTAAAAGATATGTATTTAACAAACTCAAGTTTAAAAAAATTTCAAATTTTAAAAATTAGGAAATGTGCTTCATATTAAATTATTGAATTTAAGTCAAAAATATTTCCTCATTTTTCTGTTGCACCACACCATAAAAAATCTTAGAAATCATAAGAATCAAAAATTTAAATTTTTATTTGTTAATTTAAAAATTTAAACCAGTTTAATTGACTACATTTTACCTTCAGTATTTCAATTATTAAGCAACAGATAAATTGATTAATAATCAAGTAACTGAAATTTGATGGTTTGTTAGAAATATTACATTTGAACCTGAACATTTGAACTATTGAAACTACATTGATATTATTGAACTATTAAAAGTCAATTCATACCACGAAAAGGGTTTAAAGGCGCATAAAAATAATTTATTCACCGTCAGATTTTATATCCTTTTTATTGCAAAAAACAGCTTTTAATCTTAATCTTTTTCTATATAGAGAAACGCTTTCCTTTTTTAGCATTTTTCCAAAAATTTTTTGAAAAAAGTGCTTATTAGTTTCACTCTGTCCGTTCGTCCGTCCGTCCGTTCGTGGACACTTTTTTTTTTACAAAACTTCTACACCCTTGAAGATAGAAAGCTGAAATTTTGTACGTACATAGATCTTTACTAGAAACTTATTTCCTTAGAACAAAATTTTTACCTATCTCCCCTCCTCTAGAAGTTATACCCCCCCCAAAACCTTAAAAATGGCCTTTTTTAACAATTTGTTGCAATGAAACCATAAGCATTTTTGAAATTTTGCAAAGGCAGAAAGGCATCGGCTAGCTTCCCCTAGCGCAGTATACTATAGTTAAATTTTAGAAAAACAAAATGGCCGTTCAAATTTACCGTTATCTCAAGTCCAAATTTTGGAAGTCGTTTTTCTTCTAGACCCCAGCCTGTAGAAGCTTGACTTAGAATTTTAGGGACTTTTAGACATTAACAAATAGTTCATTTCGTTAGAAGAAAATTTTTTTCCATCTCCACCCCCTCAAGTTATCGCCCCTTGAAATTTGTAAAATTTGAATTTTTGACATTCTATATTTCAGAAACCGCAAGCTTTTTCAAATTTCTATAAACGCAAAAAGTTAACGGTAAATTTCATGACATTAGAAAATATAATTATTTTTCTTAACTCACACAATTAAACCTTAAAATCGAGCATTATGTTACCCCCACTTTATTTTAATTTTTGCTTTATTTCAAAGACTGCATAAATCGTTCATCCTAAATATATGCAATCCTAGAGTATTTAAAAGCAGAATTTTCACTTGTTGAAGGGAAAAGTGCTACAATACAAACCATTGGCTTGACCCAACTTTATTAACCAACTTCCCGGTATTTCATATGCTCTTCTCATAAATCCGATTGCGTATATAAATAAGAAAATATTTTATTAGCGAGACCTCCACCTGCAATTAAATTGAATGAATAATATTATTGTACTTAGAATGCAATTATCAAAATGCATTATTAAAATTAAATTTTGTTATAGTTTACTTAATGGATTATCTTCATTTAAGTATGTACTCGCAAATATATTTTAAAAACACACACACACATAATATTCAAGAAACGTAAAAATTATTTAAAAGTTAAAAATTTTAATAAATTCATCATTTTCTAATTTTTCTTGTTTTTTCTTGTTTTTTTTTGTTATTTTGATTGATGGATTTTAGGTATATGGCCATTATAAATCCATTAAAACCACGTATGGGTAAAAGATGTACATTAGCTATAGCAGCGGGTATATGGATAATATCAGTCGTTATTGCATGTCCGATGTTCCTATTCTTTAAAACAGAAAGTTTAGAATTAGAGGATGGTGGTGAACGTATAGTTTGTTTTTTAGAATGGCCAGATGGTGAAACAAATAATTCACTGCAGGAGTATGTGTAAGTAAATAAAAAATATTGTTTTTGAATAAATATAAAATTTTTTATAATTTTGTTACTAATCTATAAAGATCGTCTTATTTTAACATATGAAATTTGAATTTGCTTTTACAAATTAAATTAATAACAAAGTTGCCGCAATATCAATATTACCAATGTACTTATTACAGAATAAATATAGTACATGCCACTTTGCCACTCCATATCACTACCGAGTCTATACTTATAATCAATTATTTTTTTTCTAACTTCATCAACATTTATCTGTGGTGTCAGCATCTTCTTCGAATTTTATGCAAAACTGCTCTTTTAATTCTTATAGATAGAATACTGTTATAAAAGAAATGCATATTACATCTAAGAATATTGTTCCGTGACACAATATTGGCATAATTCTCTTAATATAAATTAAGAAAACAAATTGCATATTGGTACCTTACGTGTATAGTACTAATTGATTCTGTTAACATTTTATTACATTTTTATTAAGAAATTTTTAACTTTATTTTAAATTTCTTTGAATTTTCCTTCAGTTTCTATGTAATTATAATTAAAATATAATTGAAAACTTAAAAAAAAATTATACCTAGAATATAGAATTTTCATTTTTGTTTTACTATTTAGTTTACTTTTTATTTTCTGAGAAAAATTCATTACTATATAAGAGTTTTCTAAAGAATCATCATGCGTGTATGTATGAATTTTTAAATTCCATTGTATGCACAAATTCAATTTATGAGTACATAGAAAAATAAAATAAACAATTCTCTCTTATGCACTGTAAGGATGTTTTCTACACTTTTTTTTTTAAAAACATTTCATTTTCTTTTTAAAACATAACTGCTATCGCATTCAATTAAGTTTAGAAAAACGTTCCCTCTTCATATCCAATGTGAAGTGCACGAAAGAATACTCTGTTTAATGGTACAGTAATGAAAACAGACATCCACGTGTACTTAGTTTAACACTAAAATACCTTTAAAAGTTAACTGTTAGAAATATGATACAAACATACATATATATGATATTACTATATTATGATTTATATTTACGTCCCTCACCGTCTCCTTTCTCTACTATGGGAAAAAGTATGTGCAAAACTTTACAAATCGTCATTCAAAACATATGAATTGTTTTGTTACGTTAGTGATTTTGCGATCAAAAGTAGAATTTATCTTCCTTAATCCCTTAATCCTTGTGGCGACATAATTTTTTCTTAGAACCAACAAACCCTTACAAATCATTAAGAAGTTTATTTATTTCAAATAATATTATTTTTAAACACACATTCAATTGCTATATATATAGTATATGATATATGTACAACCTTGTTAAGATTTAATAAGCTATTATGGTTTGGTATAAAGTATTTACGATGCTTCAAAATGTTATTATCAAGGTTATTAAAATCTTGAAAAGAAACGTTTTGAAATGAGCAATTTTTTCTTAAATGTTAATAACACTATTAAGTTTGAATAGTTAGGTAAATATATACATAAATATGTTTAGAGAGAGTTTCTCATTCATAAAAATTTCATGTTCATAAAATTTATGAATTCTTCGGGCTGATTAGAAATTATAAATACTTTAATATAAAACATTTGCTTGCTTTACTTATAAATTACATTTAACGAGAATTTTTCGCATCGAGGAAGGAATGGTCTCCTTCTTATTGTTTTGCGGGAAACAATCTGCATTGAATTTTCAATAAATTATAGTGATTTTAACCACATTACATTTATGGCATTTCTTTTGTTCCCAACGTTCTAAGCAAAAACTTGTAAAGAAATTAAAAGAATTATAATATAATTTTCGAATAAAGCAAGGAATTCAATTTTAACAATAAAAAATTTTATATAAATAGAAAAGAATTCCAACAAATGGCGAAACTAATCGAATTAGCTGATTTTTTTTTATTTTTTCTATTTATTTGTTCATCTGTAAAATGCTTGCAAATAATTTATTTCAATTTTATATTATTCTTTTGTGTAAATGAAGACATAACAAAGTGCACTGTTAAATTTAAGTGAAAATTTATTTTATTTTCAACAACATTCTACTTACACCTCTCATTTTTATAATACTCATAATTTTCTTCTTCAAGCTTTAAGCAGTGAAGTAAGTCTTCCATATTAATTGCACGTATAGAAATGCATATAAATGGAAAATTCTTAAACATGGGTATTACTATAGATACGAAAATATGCATTACACTTAAACCATGTCGATTACTTCATAATAAATCATAATAAAAATTTGAGTTTAATTCCATATTTGAAAACATGAATTTTGCACATGCAATTTTACATTTTTATCGAAAAATATTTGTTGAAATTTACAATTTTTATGGAAAAAACTCAGATGTAAAATATTTTTTGAAAACGTTTCTTAAAATTATTATATGATTCATATTAGAACTGCCATTTAATTTAGTATCACAGTTGTTATTTATGGTAGTTCAAATTTTTTCTATGTAATTGCATACCATCCGGCTACTAAGTATGCAATTAAATAAATTAACTAACAAAAAAGCCATTCTTATATTGGATAATATTTTCATCTAATAGTTGATCTCTTAAATATTTGATTCTATTGAAAATGTACACGGCGTTTAATTATATTGTATTGTAACACGAACATTTGAAAATCTAAAACGGATTGTTAAACTTTATGTCGCGCAGTGTTGCGATTTTATCTCGTTACGGATATGTACATATTATGGATATGTACAATCCATTACATATTTTAATTTCATATCATTTAATTTCACGTATTATGAATGATTTCTTAACTTTGAGTTTTAAGTATAAATGAGAGACTTTATTGAAAAACGCGAGGGTTGTTTTCCCTCTTAAAATCAATATACATCATAAAATGTATGGTAAATTTTCAATTATAAAGCGTTACAAATTCAAAGTCAGTCATGATAAAATTTCAGATTTAAAGCAAAAGTCTTTTGTTTTTTTTGAATGAAAACCAATCTGAATAAACAAATAATATACACCGTTATGTCTTCAAATTTTATTGACTTCATTTAAAAAAAAAAATTTTATCGTGCAAAATTCAAATTAATTTTATTTTACATATTTCAGATATAACATCGTCTTTATGTTTCTGACATATTTCATACCAATTGGATCAATGTCTTATACATACGCTAGAGTAGGTTTGGAATTATGGGGATCACAAAGTATTGGTGAATGTACACACCGTCAATTAGAGAATATAAAAAGTAAAAGAAGAGTAAGTAATGAAAAAATTTCGTATTTCACATTGTAAATTTCATTTGTATGATCAAATATTTTCACTTAAGTATTACTTATTATTTTTCTTATGCTGGAATTTTTTCTTTTATAAACGTAGTTGACCTATCCACTATTCTTATACACAGAGCTTTACCATATAGATACCATAAGAACCAAAAAAAAAAAATTCTTCTTGTTAAGTCCGAAGGGACATGATGTGGTTAATAAAAAGGTATTCATTTTTTTCAGATTCTGGAATGGTCATAGCAAAGTAGAATGTATAAAATTTTAAAAATAATACACCCAAGAATTTACTTTTGAAATTTAAAACCAACAAAAGTCTTTAGTTAAACTATTTTATGGTTTTTTCCATTTCAATGAAATAGAATTTAATTTTTTCGCTCGACGTTCATGTGTCCTTAAATTTGAAATTTTCTAAGTCATATTTTTTTTTCTGTTTTAACTTCCTTTGAAACAGAAAGTTTGTTGTATTTTAACAAATTTTACATACAAATATGTAATCATTCCTCAGTGTCAATAGACTCTTTCTATAATATTAATTATTTAAAGCATTTGCGCTTTTATAGTAATTTTAGGACTTACGAGTACTTAAGCATATTGATGAAATTTTGAAAATACATAAATAATACTGCGAAAAATTTAAATCTGTTTTAGAATAAAAAAACTTTCGAGTTCGACCTAGAAAATTATTGTGCACGGAGTTTTATATAAGCATTTTTATTAATCTGTATAATTGCAACTGTAAGTCTATTTATCACTTATGACATCATACTTTAAGTACATGCACATAGTTAGTTGTAATTAAATGTAAATCGTAATATTAAGAGTTTCATGATTAACTTAATGAACAACTTCTTTTAAAATATTTGGGTATTTCGGGTTGTTTAGAGAGTACTAAGAGGAATTACTTAAATTTTCTAAAATAACACTTAGATCTTCAAAATGATATGAATATCTTTAAAATACACCTAAGTTTAGTTTCTATAGTAGTTGTTCGACCGTTAAGTTGAATTGCATGTTCATTTCACTTAAATATTAATTAAATTCACCTTAGGAGATTTCATCTTGTTGCAACAAAAGCATCATAATTCTTTGTTTTGCCTCTATTATACAAGTGAAGAAATTTAAGAAAACTAAGTTTAAATTTTACATCGCATAATATCAAAAAATAATTATTTTAACTCTTCCATTAAATTATTTTTCACTCTTCAAAGATTTCCATTTTTGTTAACGATCCCATGACATTTCTTAAAACAACAAAATATCTTGTATATACATTACAACATATACGAATTCTTTAAGTGACAAATCTGTTTTTCCTGAAAAGATAAATATAAGAGCTTTCCTGTTGATTAAGATACAATGAATATGTTAAATATGCTACTCAACTTTAAATTACTTTAGCTTTTGGTGCAATAACACTAAAAATCTTCTAGCATTTTTCATTCTAAGTACACATATCTACTTATATCCCTTTGCATCTCTCTACCATATCTTTAAAATAATTTATTTAAAAAGTCTTTAAAGACATTGAAATGTGAACACGTCTCCATTAGATAACGTGTCACTTATGTGATTTTATTTTATGTACATAACTTCTGTGTATTTGTTTTAAGAATTTTTTTTTTTACCTTTCCTAAAGTGTGGGTATAACATGAATGTAATTTTGAAATAGAAAAATTTTTCTTTAAAATAATACACAAACACGAGTCAATATACAGTATGTACATATGTATATTTTATTATAATCCCGCATCACTCTAATGTCTTACAATAGAACAAAGGAAAATGAAAAAAAATATAAAATTCAATTTCTAACTTTGTAAAGGTAGCACAGGTCGAGAATTATAGAAAGGTGTTTTTATATGCTTATTTCAAAACGAAGAATAAGCACGTTGTTTGTCAATATAATTTTGTAAAATGACATAACAAACCAAAAATTAAAATAATTGTGCTTATTATACGTTAATTAAAAACCAAGTGTGACAAAGCTCTATAAAGTTGGAAACTCTAACGAATTCGGTGAATACGTATCTAAATACACATGCATTATTTGCATAAAGAACAATTTATAGGAGTTTTAAAATATGTAGATATATGAGAAAATTACTGGTGGCAAAATATTGTGTAAACATACTCTAATTCTCAAAATATTATTGGAATTCCTAATTTCAGAAATTATAATTAGCGTATTCAATATTCTTTTGTTCTCTTGGCCCTTTTTTTTTACTTTTGAACCTAACTATTTGAAGAACGTTGTAGAGAACCTTTTGAATATAAAAATAAAAATATTGAACATTTTAAACAGAATTAGAAATTCCTTATGGTTTCTGCTAAAATGTACTTAAAGAAAATATAAAATTCTTGCAGAGTATACCATTTTAAAAAATTTTAAATATGAAATAAGGCACATAAGAAAAGAAAATGTATTTTGCTTTTGGAATACGCTTTGAAATTACAAAACAAAAATTACAAGCGTGAATAAAAAATAAATTTCAAAAATGTAAATTTTCTGAAATGTTTAAACGAGGAAAGCATTCAAGCATTAAAAAAGAAATAAAATCGATATTATTATAGGAGTCTGACGTAGTTTCATTTAGAAAATTTTAAATCTAAAGTCAAAGCACAATTTTTTTACTTTTTGTGCTAATCTGAACGACAATATACATACACACACATACATAAAAAATAAATTTTATTTCTATTCAATAAAATATCGAAAATGTTTAAAAAGTTTTGTAAAAAAACCCTCTTGAAATTACCCTCTTACGAAATGTACATAACCTTATTGTTTAGATAATTTAATTTAAAACTCCTGAAAGCACTGATTTTCGAAATTTAATTAAAAATTTTATTTAAATTAATTACGTTTAAAGAAAGCAACACTTATTTAAGCGATTTATGCAAGGCTCATCTCCATTATCTTTCTGGAAATTGTAATGGAATTCCTATTAAATTGAAAATGTACATAAGCGAAATTATAGGAAGATAATACGTATGTGCAACGAAAAATCACATAAGAAAATTAAATATTAATATTTTGCTCCATAAAAATGTTTCTGCTGTATATTATGGTACAAAATTAACTAGTGAAGTTAGTTAGTCGTTTAGATAGGAACAGTATGTGGCACCTCCAACGCTGCTATCCAAAATTAAACCAATAGGTGACACATAGGCATTACTCCACAACACACCTCTTCCCGCTAATCCATTCAAATTCTTTGACAAAATTTAGCATATCACTTTGAGGTTAATAATCAGTTTTTTTTGTGGATAAACACCATTACCCGATTACTTTCTTTAGTTGGCAAATTCAATCGTAGTCCAATTTTTTTTTATTTAAATATTTGCACAGATTTTTAATTTTTCAATTGTGTATTCACGTAGCCAAAATAATTAGCGAAGAAGGGCGGCAAAAACACTTTATGTGAGGCCGCAGCAAAGAAAGCCTGGGAGAACTTTATTTATTTTTTAGGTCGCAATGGATGATAACCCTAGAACTTTACGATAAACAATTAATTGTAGGCAAGTTAGAGTATGAACAAATTTCTTTTTGGAAATTCCGTTATTGGATTTTATTCCGTTATAAAAGAATTTACTCACACACATTGTACTTTCTTTTTAGATAATTCTATAGTAAAACAAAGATTCAGCTTCAAAAATATTTTTAAGAGCTTCGTCCCTTCAAATATACATAGATACTTTTGTTTGAAATTATTTACTATAGTAAGAAAATTTATAATTAAAAATTTGTGTTTTTCTATAAAAATTCTATAAATGGTCATAGAAAGACCTACATTAAAAAAATTTTGGTAGCACAATCATAAAATTCTTGCAATATTCCTAAAATTTTAAAATCTTTATTGTTACGTTTAATAAAAATTTCCACTTGTTGAACTTTAAACGGTTAACTAAAATCAGTAACAGAGAACGATTCTTGTTGAGTATTTTAGAAAAGACTTTCGATTTCGAATTTTAATCAATCAAACGTAATTTCTATTTACCACAATCATACATTTGTGTATGTATATAAAAAATGTCAGACATTGAAAAAAAAATTCCATGTTTGTTTTGTCTCATTTTGATTTTATTTGATATCGGAGATTTCATATAAAGGAGAATTAGTTATAAAAACAAAAACTTATGTAATGAGTTTCTATGTGTTCATTTTTTCATATTTTTCATGGCATTAAAATAAACCAGAATGAAACAAAATGACATACAAAATAAGATCACATTCATTATTCATTTCTATTCTCTTTTTATATTCCACTTTTTTAATAGGCCTCCAATGCGCCATTTTTGATTTTTTTTTTATATTTTTGCATATTATTTTGACTATGCAATCCTATATTTAAAACAACCAAAGCCAAAGTGGTCCAACTCTAAGAATTACAATTTTAATATTAATATTTATTAAGTAATTTTACTCTAAATTGTGGATCCAGGTTTATATTTAGAACACTTATATTACAAAACGAAACAATAAGGCTTAGACCAATTTTTTGAACCACGAATGTAATGAATTAACGCTATGTAATTCTTTTATTCAAAATGTTTTTATCTTACTGGATGAAAGAATTATAGCTTAGCCGTTGGTTAGATCGGTTTTCTTTCCACTTTTCATTTTGGTGACAAAGGAAGATTTTAAATTTCATTTATTACATTATTGTCTTTATCAATAGAAATCTTATCCTTGAACCATTTTACAAAGGTTAATATTTTTATAATAAATTTATGCAATTATTTCGAAATTGATTAAGTTGTTGGTTGGATCACTTTGTTTCTGAACGCGTCTCACTTATATTTCTAACTTGAATCATTCGTTTTAAAAAATTTCTTTCTAATTTCAAGTGAAAAAACAATGTATATTTTTTACAGACACAATCTTTGTTCTTTTTTATAATTTCAAAAGAAAAAAAAATATATAAATTTCTGAAAGGTTGACATTTTTTTAGAAAAATATAAGAAAAACTT